CACTACAGTTAATTGTGTTTGTGTTAGTGTGTGTTAATGTGTTTCATTACTTAATTTTGAGTGATCATTGTCTTCAGCTTTATGAATCTGAGCAGCTCATCAAAGCTGTGCTGCACAAGATTTTGCAGCAGACAGCTTTTAGGAGGTGCCACCAAAGGTGTCTTTTTCACTTTGAATGAATTCACAAGGAGCAAAAGATGCAGCATGTCTGCTGTTATGAAAATCAACTCAGCTCAATTAATTAAATGACCTTTAATTAATTTTTTGCTCCCGTTTCTCAAATATGTCACTTTGTTTGGAGTAAAGTTCACTATGGCAGCTCCTGAGTTCCTTTGCATTTCCCTGTCATCTCAAATCTTTGACACTTTGCCCAACCACTGCCATAAAAGCACAGCTTTGCTGACATCACATATTGCTTAGAACAAGTAATGGCAGGGTGTCGCTCTGGCTCTTTCCTCTCACAACTTTTTAATCTAGATTATTGTTACAACAAAAGCTTAGTGCCCCAAGAAGCCTCTAGTCAGGGAGCCTCAGGATGCACTCTGTATAAAGTACCCATTCATATACAAATTAAAGCATGGAGAGATCAACACCACTAAAACCAAATTGCCAACAGTCCCTGTAAAGCATTTCTTGGGCTTCTACAAGAGCCAATAAAGTGACCTTAGAAGAAAATCTTATATATGTACTTTAATATGTACCTAATGCCACTAGCTGTGAATAAAGCACTAACATTTATTCTTTTACACAGAAACAAGGAAAAGAAAGGAAATTTTAAGTTTCTCTTGAACTGAAAACTGAAATAAGCCCAGCTCACAGTAATGTTGATATAACCCCCCATGAAATGGTTTCAAAGATCTCTGAAACCAGTGCTGGGAAAGGACTCCCTTACCAAATCAATGCCACAAAGATTAACACCACCAAATCAAGTTTTGTGGTGTTAATCAGGATGCTGATTAATGTCAGCTCCCTATCAGGTAAATCCTTCCTGATGAGACTGAGTTTCAGGTACACTCTCACAAACTCCAGAGTTCAGCTATTTCCTATCCTGCTTTGCTGCACTGTTGCTATTTCCACTCATTATGCCTTGTGCTTTTCCTACAAGGATTCACTCCTTCCCACACTGAAATTCAGAGTTATCTGCTTCAAAAGTGCCTTATGCAAACCAGAGGAGGATGCTGGCACTGCCTCTTCAGGACTTTGACCCCCAAAGTGCTCAGGACTACCAGAGTCACCACCCTGATAATTTTAGGGGGATCCCACACACTGCTGGCTAAGTATTCAAGCTGAAAAAGATATAAAAATTTGATTTTAGTACAGTACAAGATTGCTGTGGTTTATCAATAAAGGAATGGCACTATTACAATTGAATTTATCCTCAGAAGTTTTGGGTAAAATAGCATTCAAAAACATTACAGCGTGGTTTCTCAAGATGAAGATGGAATTCTTACACAAGCCTTGATATGCTGATCTGTGGTCATATGCAAATGACATTTCCCCTTCTAATCTCCTCTCTGCCCACAGGGATTCCATGGTGTTGGGAAATCCCATTCTCAGAACAATACTCATTTCTCTTCCGTCTCAAGCCTCTTCTACAGAAAAATTCTTCTCTAACCACAGAGCTTAGGAGCCTGCTCCAGGCAAGAGAAAATCCCACCAGGCTTTTGCAATGCCCTGTGTTTAACTATGAAAATAAGTTATCTAAAGATTGCAAACAAAAAATCTCTGACTTGTTGGAAGAAATGTAAGACTTACTGTCTTCTACACTGATGCTGGCAATTCCTCTAAATTGATAATCCCTTCCTAAATAGACTTGACAAGTTGGTGACTAATCCTCCTTTAGAAAATATGGGCTCTGAGGCAATGCACACCATTTATGCTTTGGGAAATAAATTCTTTAATGATTATTTTTCACACTGTTGTCATCAGGATGATTTGTGAAAATGCACTCCTTTGTAAAATTACACTTTAAAAATATACTTGGAATGCTGAATATGTGGACATGATTGAAACCTGTTTGTAGAAACCAGGACAGCTGTGGGCTATAATGCAGGTGTAACTCCATCTTTAAAGAAAGCAATCATACTCCAGCAATCTTTATTGAGAGGTGAACAACATCCAATATTTCATATGTATTTTGTCAGTAACCATTACAATGCTTTACCATGCTGATGAGGGCAACATTTGGGGAGTGCCGTTTCTTAGCCCAATTTTTACATAATTATGTGGTTTCCCAGTAGTTATTCACTGTTCACTTTCAGTGTCACTCAGAGGAGAAGGAAATACCCTGTGCCACACACAATTCTTCCCAGAGCCTTGTTCCTGGGCCATGCAAGGCTTGCCAACATCAACCCTTTCCTCCTGTCAGCAGGGGAAACCCAGGAGAGAAAAACTGAATTAAGTGCCATAAAACACTGAATTAAGTGCCATAAAACACACATGTGATCATTGCAGAGAGTGAGCCTTGCTAGAGCTGTGCACAGCAAAGATGACTTGCAGCTCCTGGATGACCTTCTCCTGCTGCAGATGTACATGTTGGAAAGCAACTTTCTGAGAAGCTAATTGAAGCAAACCCTTCAGATCTCCTAAAAATCAAGGTAACTGCAATGGCTTCCTTTCAAATTGTACAGACTGCTTTGTACAGTCATTCTACAAAAGCTAATCTCTTACCTAACAGGCTGATGACAATCATTCTGAATAAAGAGGTTAAACAAAAAGCAGTACAGGGTACAGCCAGTCCAGGTTACAGAATGAAAGGGTTCTTGTTGAACAAAGAAGTTCCTAAATGAAAGTGGAATCTGGAGGAATAAATTCTCCCATTTAAAAACCATTCATGTGGGAAGGTAAGATTTGTCAAAATCTCAGCGGTATGAGTCAGTACAGATTATTCCCACTGCTGCCTGCAAAACACATGTATTAACATTATACACCTACTATTGGGTCAGAATTACTGACTTCACAATTGTCTTTCCATCTCTCCCTTCTTCCTGTTATTAATTTACCTCCTCCATGGCTTATAAGTGTCTGGCAGAAACAAGAATTCCAGTGATGGTAGACTTGCAAGCAGATTTTAATATTGAGACCATCAAACTTCATGTAGTGTATTAAAAGCTGAAGTATCTAATTCTTTTCTTTAACATATTCTAACTCATTCCTGAGCAGGAAACAGGTGAAAAAACATTAAACATTAAGAAACACATAAGTACAAGCAATAGCAAGTAGTTATAAACTTATAATTTGACATTACAATTAGCAATTAAAAGACTGGGATAGCAAAGTAAGCAATAAATAACAACAACAATGAGAATAATAATAATGATAATAATAAGGTAGACAAATACATGAGCAAAATCACAGGAGAATACCATTATAACATTCCAGCTACCGTAATGGAATGGCTGCTTTTAGTATATGTTTATATTAAATGAATAGAGAAAACATTGTGTTTCAGATTTGTATATTGGTGACCCATAACCTCACCCTTGTACCTCACACTGATCTAAAAATAGTGATGAAAGAGGGAAAAATAAGTCAAATAGGAACCTACCAAGAACTCATTTCAAGGAGAGGCAATTTTTCTGAGCTTGTTCAAGTCTTCAGTTCAGAGCCTACAAGTGAGGAGACAAACCCAGTGGAAGGTTACAAAATTTGTATACTGTGTTTGCTTAGTATTTTTAATTTTCATAGCAGTTTCTCAATATATTCCTTCTTCTATTCCTGGAAATGAGTGAAAGAATTGCTGGGAAATTTAGAGCATTCTAAATTTTGCTACAGAATCATAAGTATAAACTGAAAAAAAAAAAAAAAAAACAAAACCAAAACCAAAAAACCCCAATGTTTTCACTTTCGGCTTCTTGTGCTGTATGTATTTACTCATGGTATATTGTTGAAAATAGTTTTCTGGGTTTTTTTCCAGTGTAGTGAGTTCTTCAAAGGAAGAGGTCAACTGGGCAGGAGTCTGCAACAGAAAAGGCTGCTGAAACACAAAAAGTAGATATTAAAAAGTAGGTATTAAAAAACCCCGAGCCACTGCTTAACTGTGATGCTAGAGCAGCCCTAAGTGCTGAAGGCTGTGCCACCCTGCTTTGCTGTAGAAACATGGGTTAAACTTGAATTCCAATTTAGCAGCTGGCTGGAATATGTGCCTGGAGCCCATCTTCTGGGTTCCCTCTATACAAAAGAAACCCAGTGAATGTACCACATCCAAGGGGTTCAGTTCATGGGCTGCTTCACTGTGGGAAACAAAGTATGTTAAGCAGGAAAAATTTGCCTGATTTTATAGTATTCTTTTTTGCTTAGCAATAAATGGATGTATTTTTTGATGATTTATAAGTATTTATATAAATAAATATAAATTAAGATTATTTATAAAGTATTTCTTGTTGCAGCTCTTCCTCTGATCAGTGGAACATACACAATAGCAATAGAGAGGAAGATGCTGCTGGTGACATAAGTATCACTGATAGAAAAATGTTGGACATCTGTTTTCATAAAAATGTCTTCCTTTGCAGTTGCAGTTTTTAGTTTCTTACATCTCTTTACTAAGTTCAGTACCTTACAAAAGGTTTTTACTGAAATTTTAGTATGTAATGACACAGTATTTTCTCAACTGCAGTTGTGAGTCTGATTCACTGTGGATGGAATATATTGGTTCCACATCCAGACAACTGAACTGAGAGGAACCCAACAGTGCAGTGAACTTTCAGGCTGGGCTCAGAATAGAACTGAAAGGTGACAAAAAGGGAGACTGAAGCTTGTGAGGAGTAGGTGCAGTCTGGAGCGTTGAACTCCATAGGTCAGGAGACAGGAAGAAAGTAAAAATCTGGGACAGAAACAAGGGCATGGCAAATACCAAAGCTGACAGTGTGCTTGTAATTTCTTCAGATCAGCCAAATACACCCCATACACACAGCTTTTAAGGATCACATTAAAGTACAGATCAGAAAATTACTCTAATGTTGTTCTAGTGAAAGTAACATGAAGTTTAAATGAACAGGAAAAAGGTCTGCTACCCCTTCAACTGTCCTGTTTGGTCACTGAGCTCCCCCAAAATTGTCACTGTCCTGTTCACATGTAACTCACTAGTGACTGTTGTTGGCCTCTTATGCCTGTTGGGTCACAGCCACTGTGACTGCACTTGGTCAAGGTGTCTGTTCACCATCTCTAAGAGCATTAGTTCTGTTTATAAATCTCTGCAGGTATTCTTGTTGCTGAATATGTCATGTTTCCTATAAGAAATTAAGGATATTTAACTTAGAGTCATAGCCTTTTAATTTTTCTAAACACTGCTCATGAATGTAGTCTCGAGTGCATCAAAAACCTTAATAATAATTCATGTGCTGTGGCATGCCTTTAGTCAGCCACAAAACCAGAGCACAGAGAATGCACAAGAAATCTCTTGCCCTTTATGATTCACCTTAATGAAGAACTGAGCTCACAGATACTGCACACAATTTTTGTCCTCCATTCACCAGCTTCAAACTGTTAAAATTCCCCTTGCAAAGATCCATTCCCAAGATTATTTGTCTCAGTTCCTTCTATTAATGTAAGGATTTATGACAGCCCATTTTAGGATCATGTAGGAATTGTGCATTCACATTCTGCTGCTGTTTGGGACCCAATCTTGTTTACTGAGATTTCAAATCTGGATCCACTAGGAAAACACTCTGATCTTAAACTGTGGGAGGTGCTGGAGTTATGTAACTTAAAGGATTTTGTCCAGTCACTGCCAAAGAAGCTCCTCCATGAGATTCCAGAAGGTGGTGAAAATCTCAGGTACATTATCAAGCAAGTGCTAATGCTGTTATTTTCCAGAACTATGTGATCCTTCCAGAAAATTTACTTCAGAAGGTATCAGGATAGAAATGACACATCTCCTGTCATTCTTAGCAGAACTATTCTGGTAGTGCAAGTGTTTTTGAGGTGACCAACTGGTCACAGTGGTATAAATTCTGATGGCCTGTGTTGTATGGGAAGCCAAGACTATTTTCAGCTCAAGTGTAAAGAAGGGGGGCGTGGTGTTGCAACTCATGCAGTGCCTCATTAGATTTGGGTAGAAAAGTGCTCATTTATTTAAATTTAAAAAATAAAACAAGAAAAAAAAAACAACAACAAAAAAAATCAACCAAAAAAACCCCAACAAATTCAAAACCCACCCAAGTCCAGAGAGCTTATTATTTTGTTCTATTTGCTTAAGCAAAAAACCTCAGTTTTAACTTTGAAACATCAACCCACAGTTATGCAAGGAGGGTGACACTTGAAATAAAAAAACTCAAAACTGAGGAGACAAATATTGAAGCTTTCAGCAGCAAAGGGACAGGTCTTCAAAAGTGTACTGGGTATCAACCTGAATTTTTCAGATAGATCATTTTCAGGAGGACATTTCTGGAAGGTGCATACTACAGCTAACATATACAAGTATCCAAACTATTACACTGAACATTATTGAAAAGTGGTTCAGCATTCAATCTGGCTCATTCCTAGTGTCCACTATAATGTGAATGTAAAACTGAAGACTTTTTAAGATTCAAAGTTCAGCCATGGGTGTTGAAGAGTCCAACCTTAACTACTATTGATATGCTGAGCAAGAAGAAATAAAATTCCAAAGCAGGATGAACATATTTCAGTAGTCTTTTCAGAAACATAAAGGTTAGGAAAGAAGTACAGACATGCTCCATGGTAATCTCAGCTTTATCTTGTGCTCCCTTTCCTCCGTGTGCCTGACTTGCCCTTCTCAAATGTATTTTTAACAGTGTTGGGCATAGACAGCTGGTCTGTCTGGCCCATGCTTTGCTACGGAAGACAAAAATCTGGTTCTAGATGAGGTGACAGCTTCTGTTGACATGGAAACAGAGATAACTTTGTGCAGCCCACCATCAAAAGAGAGTTTCACAACTGCACAGCGTTAACTACAGCCCACAGGTTACACACAGTCATGCATTCACAGAGGTAAGTTTTGATAAGCCATTTGAAAAATAAATTACTTCTTGAAATACATTCCCATAATCCAGAGATATCTGTACTGGGACTGGAAAATGTGGCTGTAGAGCTAATTTTTCTTCTGTAATCTTTCTCATCTTGAATTGTAGAGTGCTTGTTCTGGATGGAGGAAGGATTCTAGAATATGATACACCACAGATACTTTGTTACTGTGAAAAAGTGCCTTTTCTGAAATGGTTGCAGAGACTGGGATAAGAAGATAAAGAAAACTAGTAAGTGAATTCTGAAGGAAACTCAAAGGATTTCTGGCATTCCATATATATAGGTGCAGTATTTTATATTTCATATAAAACAACTGACTTAAGAGCTCCTTGCAGCATTGCTGTTTACTACAGCTACAATCTGTATGTATTACTCCGTTTTCTTAAAATTCAGATTTTATACAAATCACTTGTTTTATCATATTGGCACTGGGACAACAGAATGAAGCAGAGATGGATTTTCATGGCTAAAACTTTTGCATTAGTAAAGACTGATTGAAAAATAAATCCTGCTGTTGACATGCTGGTCTTAACTTAATCTAAGTTGCTCTGACATTATGCTCATTTAGTTACTAATTCTTATTATGATTACACATTCAGGAAAAAACAAAACTGCTTGTTGTGTGGACACAGAGACAGATGTCACTTGGGGTTAATTTTAATACATCCCCCCATTTTTACTTAGGTAGGTCTTGAGGCAATAAATGTGCCCCATTAAGTCAGTTTTCTGTTTGTGATTTCTGAAAAACTGAAAACCACATCTTACATATCTGAGCACTACAAAATCTCATTGTGAAAGAATCCCAAAAAATGCAGTCAGGTGGAGCTGCCTCTTTGCTGGTAACTATTAATGTAAACCTCCCTATAATTACAGAAGCAGGACAGATTATGTACACTTACTTGAAGTGTCAGCTGAGTGTATCTGCTTCTGTAGGCCACATAAATAGTTATTTCCATTTTTCTTGCAGTTCCTGAAGCTCTTGAAATTTAATACTGACATGTAATCAGTCTTCTCTTAAGACCCCCCATCAACTGCTTAAAAAAACCCAAAAAAAGTAATAAAGTTCCTGGGTACAGCCCTGTTATATTAGTTTAATGCTGACACCTGGTGTATCGAGTACAATCTTAATTTCTTGCCCAAGGGAAAGTTATGTGCACGTAGGCTAGGGGAGGTAGCCATCAATACCTTAGGAACCAATCCCTTTTGCAAGGTCTAGAGAAAACAGTCTGAGGAGAGGCATCAGTGCATGGTAATTTTTGCTTTATTGAATTTTTGGGGAGAGCTTTCTGTGCTTACTGCCAGGCCAACATAACCTTTCACTTCCAGTTACTTTCAGAATGCAGCTGGGAGAGCTGCCGACTGAACAATGGCAAAGCCTGAGAGAAAAGAAAATGCTGGACTAGTGTCAGCAAAGCCATTCCTTCTCTTTCAGTGAGCTGTACCCCTCATATTTGACTGTAACTTCTGCTTTTCGCCAGCTTTGAAACATTTATGAAACACTGTAATTGTTGAGGCTCTGCAGACTCTACAGCTCCCCAAGACAAAGCAGATGTTCAAACTCTCTCACAGCTGACACAACTTCATCTTCTACACTTCAAAGGAATTTGAGGAAGACAGAATTTCCTTGAGAAAGTGAAAGAAGACAGATCCAAGGGGTAGAAATTGCTTTTATTTTAAAAAATCTAAAATTATTTATAAAATGCATTTCATCATCTGCACTGGGAAACAATTAGGGAACACACAATTGTTGAGGCCTCTTGATGCTTTCAGAATTTTAACTTGCCAAACAAGGCTTAGCTAGAGAAATTGGTTACACACCTACCACCACAGGCAGTCATAAGGATTACAGAAAGATTTCAGCCTTCAAGTATCAACTTTTTTACAGAGAGACTTTTGGTAAACAGCCCATGTGCACACCTGGAAATATCCACTTAGTGCAGTGGACCCGCCTTTAAAATTTAATTTTGTGCCAAAATACAGTATTAAAAGATACAAAATAAATAATTCAGAAAATTTAATAAATAAGAATGCATTGATATCCAGTGTATAGTAACTTCTCTACTAAAAACTCCAACCTGTATAGATCTCTGAATAAATGCCCTTTTGTGGATTTAGTTTGTACAAGTAAACAACCTGCCCTTCCCTTCCAGTTCCCAGATTAACACTGAAGGAGATTTAACTCCCCCAGGGTGAAGGAGAATGTGAAAGAAAAAAATACTTCATTTATTTGCTCTGAGAGTTTTAACAGCTCCTACCTAACTTGTCCCAAAACTATAAAGCTTTTAATAGTTTAACTTCTCTGTGAAGTGGTTCTGTTTTATACAGGTCTGCTTGCTTTACACAGTGCATTAAAGACATGAAGACCAAAGTCCTACTGTACCTCCAGTGGATTTTGGGATGAACTTACAGCAGGGCAGAAGGAAAGGCCACAGTGACTCTAAAGAGCTGGTACAGATGTTGAACACACACATTTACACAGCAGCAACTGAGGAATGTACTGCACCCATCCATGGTGTCACTGAAGAGGCACTTCTTTCACTGCAGGAGTTTTACTTACTGGAAGCTCCACACTTAGCTGGGGTCACTTTCAAAGAGGCACAAAGGAAGGAAAGAATCCTCAAATTAAAAAAAAAATCCTGGTTTTCAATGCAGGAAAATTAAGCAGATGTCAGCAGTACTTTGGGAATCCTCTGTCAGGTTAAACAATGCTGATGGAATGGCTGTGTGCAACTATGATTCAATTTAAGAGGTTTTTAATTGGATTACCTCAAAGATGCATTTAGACAATAGCTATGCAAACAGCTGAATCAGCACAACTGATTTATGGCAGTGCCATAAATCAGGCCTGCTGCCAGGAGAGTAATAAGCCTATTTTAATATAGTCATAGGTTAAAACAATAAATCTAAGCCCCACACTTTATCTTAGCAAGGTTAATACAAAATTATTCTGGAGAAGACAAGAAAATCCTTAAAACTACCTGCTACTAGAGCTTACTTGATGAAGACTGGGGTGATGGATGTTGAAACCAGTCTTAGCTGTAAGACATGTTTTTTTGGTAGGAAGTTCCAAGCAGATAACAGAATTCAGCTGGTGCTTGATTATTGCTTAATCCCTCCAAAGAGAACTGTCACCAATTCAGTATTTTTTCAGATCAGTGACTTGGTTCTCCTCTCAACACATTTTCAAAGTATCTGGATAGAGATCTATTTGACTAAAAGAGAGTCCTAAGAAGTGCCACCTCAAACCTCGAGTTACAGACAACACTTGTGTAACACTTGTGTAACACTTTCCCAACAGGACAGCTACAACCTCTGTTCCATTTAGAGTAGGGATATGAAAAAGCTTAAACCACATAAGAACTAAAAAGCACAAAGTAGTTGGGTCAATTTTCATTTACTAGGGCTACAGGAATTACATTTCATCCAGGCCATCCCTTCTGTCCCACACTTTCTCCACGAGGACAGTATGGCTTGGGGTGCTTCACAGAGAAGATGTCACACACTTGTAAAAGCAGAATGATGAAATCCATGTTGGTCAAATTCAAGAGAAGACAGGCAGGTGTGGCCTCACATAAAATCACTGCAGTTTTAAAGTAAGGCAGGGGCAGGTATGAATATTTGGCAATATACCCTCGTTCTCTGTGGAGAACATCAGCACCTGTGTTTAACCATCACAGCCAGGTCAGGAATGAAGCCCTTGGAGACCAAGAAACTGCACTGGCAAGAGCCACGTTTTCAATAAGGTTTCCTAATCATGGGACAATTTGCCACAGAGCTTCAGCATACCATTATGCTGTTATGAACAGCAGAAGAATCAAGTGAATGCTTCAGTCTCATTTAAGCTGCAAGATGCCTTTAGGAAAGGTGCTTAAATGCTCAAATGGCCCAATCTAATAAATAAGTGTAAGCTGAACACTGCCAGTGCTCTGTGCATTAATGCTGCTTCACAGTCCTTCCAAGGAAATACACTGGACCCAGGAATACTTCAGTACCACATCATCTCAAACCTTTGGTCACGCTCCCTTGACACTTTAAATACACACCACTCCAGGATTTGCTAATAAAAACATTTAGCAAGAAAATGTGGGTGTGTCGTCATTGGCATTTTCATCCAATATCCCCTCTCCAAGTAAACACAGCACACTTCAGAACTCGTTTGTACCTTTAAAGTAACATCAAGCTTTAGCACAGGTAGGTGTCCAGTAACACCTAATGGGAACAGGTGAAAATTGAATAGAATGAAGCTAAGATCAGGTTCCATTGCCAGTCAGATAAGTATGGATCCTTTTGGAGAGCTGGAATGCAATTGAGAAGAGTTTCTTTTCAGTTAAAATTCGTCTTCCGTAAATGTTTGTTGGGGATTTCTATAGCACTGACTTGGAGAGGCCAGGACCCAGCAAGAATTCCTGCTTGGATGGCTACACCTGTCACAACTGCCAGGTCAGGATCCACAGAGGTGTTGGGTTCCTTCCCAAAGAAGTCCCGAATGACTTCACGTATTTTGGGAATCCGTGTGGAGCCTCCCACTAACACAATTTCATCCACTTCAGCTTTGTGCAGGTGCCCTTCCAGCAACACCTGTTCAATGGGCACAAGGATCTTCTCAAAAAGGTCCTCATTCAACATCTCAAACAGCTTCCGAGAGATTTCTGTTTCAAACACGACTTCCACAAAGTTGCCCTCTACTTTGGAAGCATCTCCAAGATTTGTCAGGCCTTCTGTGTTTTGTGAGGCACTGTTTGTTTTTACCTGGCTTTTTGCAAGGTCTCTTGTCAGCTGGTTTGCTGGCAGAGTCAGCAGCACCCTCAGTGTAGCTGCCTCATGCACAGTCAGGTTTAATTTAGCAGCTTCCACGGCCTGCCTGAGGCGGTGAATCTCCTCCTTCTGTGTGGGCAGAGAACCAAACCTTTGATGGAGTTGATCATACAAATACACCATCAACCTCTGGTTGAAATCCTGTCCTCCCAGTTTGTTGTTACCTGAAAGAAAAGAATAGAAGGTATCAGACAGAGCACCTTCAAAGCGCCAGAAAACAGCTTCTCTTTTACTGGGAGATGGTGCTCAAGGGCCAGAACAATCACAGAAGGACCACAAGTACATGAGCTCACAGAGACAATAGACAAATATGCTTCTCCACTGCACACATGATGGATAATAATTTGCACTGTTTTGTTTTGACTAAAAACAGTAACTCACTTAGTGGATCTCTGTCTAATTAAATCAGAGTGAAGCTGCTGAATCTTTCTTGCTGTTCCACTCTAACTGGACTGAGCAGCAGCAGCAGCTCACATCAGAACTTGCTTGCTGAAAGCAACACAGGCAGCTGGCACTGTGAGCATGCAGGCCAGCTGAAGCATGGCTGTCTCTTCACTAGAGTGACCAAACACTGCTGCCAGAGCTCTGTGCCCAGGGATGAATCATTCATACACCAATCCCAAAACTTCTGGGTTAACATCCTGCACATTCCCAAACCCTGCTCAGCTCAACTGGCACCAAACCCCAGGCAAGGAGGCACCAAAGCACTGGTCAGTGATCTGCCAGTAATCCCAGTTTGGGCAAAGGTGACAGAAAGATTTGAAACAGTCCCAACCCCCAAAAAGTTCAGTCACAGTAAGTGTAACATGCACCAGCACTTTATTAATGGGCACAAAAGTTAACAGACATGGAGAAAATGAAACCACAACTTACAGCCAAAACTATGACTCTGTGGTCTTAATTGCTGAAACCAGCCACAAACCTACTTTTGCATGAAAATCAGCTGAGGGTGCATTGGGAGAACACTCTGACATGGCTGGTATGTTTTAAAAGTCCCTCCAACAGCGACTTGAGGCGCACCTTGCCTCCCACTCCTTGAGAAACAAAAGCATTTTTCTCACCTGCCATGGCTCGTGTGATGAACATCCCTCCCATCTTGTTCAGCAGAGACACATCCAAAGTTCCTCCACCCAGATCCACCACCAGGACATTAAACACATCAGCTTTGTGCAGCCCATAAGCCATAGCAGCAGCTGTGGGCTCGTTGATTACTCGCAGAACGCTGAGCCCTGTGAGGAGCAGAGACAACAAGCAACACTCAGGTACACCTCAGCAAACTGCAGCTCTTACATCACAATGACATTTGCCATTACTTGTTGGGGCTTTTTTAGCCACACTCAAGTGTCAGATCTAAAGAAGTAGTTTCCCAAGCAGTAATATCCAATGAATTTTTTTCCTTACTAAATCCTAAAATAGTGCTGCTTCAGCATCAGAGCAAAATCACGAACCATAATGTGCCCAAGCACACTGCTTCCAGAGAAACCTTGCTAAGGACATTTATTTCATGCATTCGATTTCTGTTTAAATGATGGTCCAAGGGTGCTCTATATAGCCTCCCTATTTGGAGATTATAAAAAAGACTATTTTCCCTGAAGTAAAACTTATTTCCAGCCATCCATGTCTGCATTAGCCAGCTACACCTGTTGGTACTCAGAAGTTCTGAGCTGTTTCTCACAATAAATCCATTCTAAGCTTCTCTGTCACTGATTCACAGTTTCTATATCCTCCACAAAGACCTTGCTGTTAATGAAACAGACCTCAAGCTCTCCAAGAAAAACTCTGGAACACAGAGACATCACCTGCAAGGTTAGCTGCCTCAATGGTAGAATTCCTCTGCCTTTCATCAAACTCTGCAGGCACGGAGATGACTGCCTTGGAAATGGACATGCCAAGGTTGGCTTCTGCCATTTTCTTCAGTTTCAGCAGCAGCTTAGAGCCAATGCGCTCTGGAGTGATGTGAAAGGTTTCATTAGTTGTCACAGAAAATTCAGCTAATCCATTCTTGTTGACAATCTAGAAGGATAAAGCAACACAACCCCCAAGTGAGAAATCTTCCTATGCTCCACCACCCTGATCCCACCAGATGTTTTATTTGCATGTAGTCTCTTTATTCAGGAAAAGTTTAAATGTGCTTTTGCCATTTCTGGGCCACTTTTATTCCCTGATTAGGAAGATTAGGAAGATTATGAAAAACACGCCACTTAAGGGGTGAAAGTATATCCAAACAAATGACACCCATTATGCCCTAGTAAAACACATTAAAAAAAGTTAACACCTAGAAACTGTGGAGTCAATTTCCAACACCTCATTCAAAGACAGAAGGAATTTTTTTTTTAATCATTAGATTATCTTTCAGGTTTCTGAAAGGAAACAAACAGCTTGGAACTGAAACAGCTTCTCCTAACAATATTAAAAAAATAAAAATACTTCCACTTTCCCACTTCCACTGCAAGTGGAAAAGACCACTTGCAGTACACAATTTTTAAATTATTTCTTCAACCAATTCTGCACCATGCTCATACATTGCAGGTTAGTTTTTTTTAAAGCAACTTTCGAGTTCTGCTGCTGGTCAAGTAAGTAGTAAAGTACTGAAGCAAAAAACACACTGGGACAGAGAAGATGTGGCTTTAAAACTTTTTAGGGTTTTGGTTTTTGGGGGGGAAAAGTTTGTTGATTTTTGTTTGTTTGTATTTTACAATTTTAGGGAGAAGTAAAGTTTCAGCAAAGCACAGTTAGCATTTCAAGTTTAAATTCATCCTTTCAGAGATGGGCCTGGAAGGTTAGCCAGAAGCACATTTCTCAGTAGGGAAACACAGGGTCCTCTGGAAAATCATTATCAGCTCTCATACAGAGATACACAACGTCCACAACCATTTCCTTCTGCTCTCTGGATACCTCTTACAGTTTTCAGGCCCATCAGACTGGGCCATATGGCTCAAGGTCTGACAGGATGATCAATCACATTTCAAGTGTCACAGAATCAGGTTGCAGGGATCTTACAGTTCATCTCCTTCCAACCCCCTGCCAGTGGCACAGACACCTTCCACTATCCCAGGTTGCTCAGACCCCATCCAGCCTGGCCTTGAACACTTCCAAGGATGGGGTGCCTGCAATTCTGGGAAACCTGTGCCAGGGCCTCACCACTGTCAGAGTAAAGAATGTTTTTCCTAATCTCTAATCTAAAACTACACTCTTATCAGTTTGAAGCAGTTTCCCCCTGTCCTGTCACTCCAGGCCCTTGTAAATAATCTCTCTCCATCTTTTCTGCAAGCTTCCTTTAGGTGTCAGAAGGCCACAGTTAGTTCACCCCAAAGCCTTCTCCAACCCCAATTCTCCCAGCCTTTCTCCCAGCAGAGCTGCTCCATCCCTCTGATGCCCTTGGTGCCTCCTCCGGGCTGGCTCCAGCAGGTGCCTGTCCTTGCTGTGCTGGGAGCCCAGAGCTGGATGCAGCCCTGCAGGTGGGCTCTCAGCAGAGGGGGCAGAGGGGCAGAATCCCCTCCCTGCCCTGCTGCCCACGGGGCTCTGGGTGAGCCCAGCACACGGGGGGCTCTGGGCTCCCCATGGCCAGGCCATGGCAGCCTCTCACCCACAGCACCCCCAGGGCTGCTCTGGATCTCCATGCCCAGCCTGGATTGCATCCTGCTTGGAGGGAACTGCAGGAGCAGGCTGCCTACCTTAAAGGGATACCTGCTGCTTTCACTCTGCAGCTCCTCTGGAGTGAAGACTTTCCCGATGAACCTCTTGGCATCGTAGATGGTGTTCTGGGGGTTGGCATCAGCCAGCTCCAGGCCCTGGTACCCCACGTGCACGCCCGTGTCTGTGAAGGAGACCACGCTGGGGATGCTGCTGTGGCCACTCTCGTCCAGGATGACTTTCACAGCCCCACTCCCCGGCAGGAACACGCCCACAGAGCAGTAGGTGGTGCCCAGGTCGATCCCAATCACCCTGGGCGTGGGCATGGGCAGGTACTGCTGTGCCAGGTAGCTGGCCAAGAGCAGGGCCAGCACAGCAGAGCCTGAAACATGGAGATGGGAACAGCAGGGTTAGGCCATCACTCTCCAAACCTACACAAGTTTCTCTGTGTGACACACTGCACCTCCTGCTGCTTTATTTCACACCCCGGAGCCTCATTAGATGCCTAATTAGTTTTTAATTTCCTTCTCAACACAGAGTGGCTAGGAGTCAAGAATTTAAGGCATTAAATATCAAACTGATCAAGGAAAAACAGGCCAAGAGACAGCCAAGCCAAAAATATCACCAGGCTGTAATAATTCTGTTTCTCTCTGCACGTTACTGCAGTAACACAGGGTAATTATTGCTTCTGCAGGAGCTGCCTATGAATGACCCCAAAAGGACACTGAGTTAATGGGGCCACCCAAAACCACAGTGAAACGACAAACTCACAATCCTAACACCTCC